TGTGTGTGTGTGTGTATGTGTGTATATTCTTTTTTCTTTCTTTTTATAATTTTCAATTGAACCGATTGAGAGAAGATTGTAGACAACATGACCTTCTCCCCTAAATGCTTCAATATGTATCTCCTAGGAATAAAGACATTTTTATGTAACCACAATATGTTTATCAAATTCAGGAAATTTAATACTGATACAGTATTACTGTCCAACACTATTATCTTTTGCTGCCTAACATGAAGTAAATAGTCAAATTTCATCAACTGTCTCAATACTGTTCTTTATAGTAATGTTGCTTTTCTATTCAGAATTCAATTCAACAGCATGGGTGGCATTTAGGCACCTAGTTTCTTTTCTCACCTTGAAACTGTGCCTCTCTTGTTTTAAAACAAAGAAGAGTGACTTGAAAGAAATGGAGCACCACTTAAATTGCAGAGGCATTCTCAGGCAGGTAATTTAGAAGAGAGCATGTACGGAAGTTAAAGCTATGTTAACTGATTTGCTTAAAATCATCCATGTCAGCGAATCCCTTGGAAAACCTTTGTGCAACCTCAAGAATAGCTGAGATTTGAAGGCAGCTCATCTCTATACCCAAATGCAGAGACGTGGCCCTTAAATCAGCCTGCAATTGAATAATTTAAGCTTTAGTATCAGTTTCCCCCTTTCCTCCATTAAAAGATTTATTGTGTTGGATAAAACAGTACCAGTAAGTAGTTCTAGAAAAGGATTTAGAGGGCCGGCCCGGTGGCACACGGGAGAGTGCGCCACTTGGGAGCGCGGCGGCCCTCCTGCTGAGGGTTCGGATCCCATGTGGAGACCGGTTCCCACTCACTGGCTGAGCGCAGTNAAAAAAGACAAAAAGGAAAAGAAAAAAAAGAAAAGGATTTAGAAATCACTGTGATTTAAAGGGAAAAACCTCAGCGATCTACAATTCTTTAGGGCTTTATATATTTTTTTACTTCATATTGTCCAATGTACTTATCACAGTGTCTGTGTAAAGAAAAATCTTAAGTGTAAAAAAAAAATCTTTTAAAAATGTGGTAGAAATAATAAAAACTATTTATTCATTATTGTGCCCCACTCTCAAATTAGATTGAATGAAGAATGCTGGAATAGTATCTAGATTTTAAATATGATGCAGAGGCACTTGATTTTTAATGACTTAAGAATCCTAGAGGGACATTATTGTATGTATATAATGTGAATTATTAAGATGTAACAATTTACATTCTTTTCAAGATTTGATTTTACAAGGAAAAGCTAATGTAAAAATAAGAATAAATTTAATATCTTTGAGTTGAATCCAGAGAATTTGTTTTTCTTAAATATTTCTAGAAATGTTTCTTTTGTAATTAGAGAGTCAAATATTTATTCTATTATATTTTTCATTTGAAGAATAAATGCTCAAATTTTTCCTTATAGTATAAGTGAGAAGAATGTGCTTGAATCATTTCATGGCTTCTGGCCAAACAATTAGATTTCCTTAATTCTTTCAACATTTGAAAAAGATGCAATATTTTTAAAAGATGCTTCAAAGAGAAGAATGCTTTTAGATACCCTCAAGGCTACATTTTAAAGCTTGTTGGGTAAGATACTTAACCAAGAGAACTAGAATAGGTAAATGAAAATTTTAGAGAAAAAAAATAAGATGTATTTGTTTTGCTTTACATTTATGGAGTGAAGTATAGAATAAAGTTTCTGTAGGTAATGGCTTGAGAAGAAATTCAAGTATGCCATTCTGAAATCTAATCATCAGAAGACAGTATTCAGGGTATTAACCTGTTCATGCAATTTTAAGGAAAGTAAATCCAGCTGTAAATTTTAGAATTAAAAAATAGCCCAATTTCCCGTCAACAGTTTAAAAGAAAAATCTACTTCAACTCACCTAACTTAAACAAAAGGGAGAGGCTTAAGAGCTTCATTAAAATCTGGGAAAGAAACTAACTTCATCTGCCTTGGGTAAGACAAGCCTCCCAGGAGAAGCTAATGCAACAGAGAAGCTCTGTGGCCAAGAGAAAATTGCTTATTCAAAAGTGACTGAAGTCAAGGCCAATCAAAAATTTATGATCAGGTTTATCCTTGGGTCTGTTTCATAGTGCTGGAAAAAGCAAAATCATATCCTCATCATTTTACTTGTCATGGTTATTTGATATAAGTATGCCTCCTCTTTCAGGCTACACTATCATAGGCAAAAGTAATTAATATGGGGAAAATAATAAATTTGATCATCTTAAAAATGAGTACTTAAATTTTCCAGTTCTCCAAAGGAAGAAAAGTTTGTCCTCTTTTTGTCATTGTTATTAATGAAGATACATAAACATGTAAGAAATCAGTATTCTTCTTGAATCAACCATATAAATTTTTGACTTTGGCAAGAGCAATTGAACAAGAAGCTATTTACGTAGCGGTATTTCTGGACTACAAAGATATGTGATGGAAAGTTTAGTGAGTCTGGAGATAAAAGAAT